CTGCATTGCAGCTGTCCACCGACCACAGCACGAGTGTTGAAGAGGTAAGTCGTTGTCCATGTTCACTAGTCTAGTTACTGAATTACTGTGCCCAAAGTTCTGAATTCTATTCTTTTTTGTCTCAGCTTCTATTCGTAGGTATCATATTGATCTGGTAGAAACTTGCTTGTTATAGTGAACTAACCTCTTTAGAAGTAGTCGCATCATTTTTATCTCTCTTCACAACCAACAAGTAGAACTATGAGGCGATATTTGTATTTGCATGTGGCCAGTAAGAATATACAATTCTTACATTTGCTCATTTGTACCGTTTTGTGGCTAGATAGGCTCCGTGGTTCAGATCCCAGAATAGAATATGACAGTCTAATTTATGATTAGTGACCTAAAGGATGCAACTGATCGCTTGTCCATCTTGTAAGGCAAAATTTGGAGGGACCAGATTTTGTTCATTTCTGCTTCTCCATAATGCTTACCAGTTGCATTTGTTCTTTTGTGCCTTGCCGTATCCTTCTTATTTACTCCATCTAAGTTAGGTGCCTGTCGATTAGATGTTTTGACCAGCCTGCCTTTCTTATATGAGCTTTGGCAACTGCGGAAGTGTATTGGTTATTTGTTTAAAACCATCTTCATAGGCCATAGCAGCCTGTCTTTTCGGTTATGCACTTATTTGATGGCAAGAAAATCAACAAAGTGAATGTTAACCCTTTGAATCCTGTAAATAGTGTGAATTGATGATTGGGTTTCATCTCATGGTAGATGATGCAATGTGTTTGTCTTTCAAGCTCACTGATATTCATTATGTAGAAGGGCTTCCACCCTGACAGATGCTGATGCTAGAGACATTGATCTGAATAGTGCGTATAAGTGAGCTTATTCACAATGATGTTTAATTAATGAAATTCGAATTGGTTTCTTTGTCCAATGATTCAATGATGCCTTGAGCCCTAGAGTGCAAGTTTGTGAAATATATGTTCTGTCAGTTAGCATTATCAGAAGATTCGGTTAGACATTTTATATGGATGTGTAGACTTGTTGTTCATTGTTGATTCCCATTTAGTTGAACTTCTGTCACATTTTAGAACATCATATTTTTTTCTTGGTGAACGTCACCATTGAACTGGGGGATTGATCACTCTTGCAGGAAATTCTAAGGATCAAGAATGAACATCCAGATGACAGCCAGTGCATTGTCAATGATAGAGTGAAAGGTCGTCTTAAGGTTACCAGAGCATTTGGAGCTGGATTCCTGAAACAGGTACAGAAACTAAACTCCTTAGATCTTTTCTTTGTCGCGGATAATTTAGGAGTGTGTTTTACCTAGAAATTCTGCATCCTGAGATTACGTGGAACTTGTACCATAATTTTAGTTTTGTAACCTTCTTATGGACAAGTTGGAAATCGGTGCTTCATGGGGAACGACCTCTAAGGGGAAAACTAACCTATGCTTTCCGCATCATCTACTTGAGTGATATACAAGACAATGGATTTATAGACCATAATAACAGATGGTTTTCATGTTTTGGCAGCCAAAATTGAATGCTCCATTGTTGGAAATGTTTCGTAATGAGTATATAGGCACTGCACCTTATATATCCTGCATACCTTCTCTTCGTCACCATCATCTCTGTCCAAGAGATCAGTTCTTAGTTCTATCATCCGATGGCCTATATCAATATCTCACAAATCAGGAAGTGGTTTCTATTGTTGAAAATTTCATGGAGAAGTTTCCAGAGGGTGATCCTGCACAGAGCTTGATAGAGGAACTTCTTTCCCGTGCAGCCAAGAAAGCGGGTAAGTTGTGCAACTCTCTCTCTCTCTCTCTCTCTCTAAGCATGTTCGTGCAAGGTCATTGATACATCTTGAGAATATTGTAGGCTAACCTGGTCGCAGGCTACAGTCTAGTCTGATCAGAAGTAAGTTTCAAATGGGCAGTAGCTTTATGGTTGCTAGTTGCTACTTAACAAAATATCATCATACTAGTGTTACTGCAGCTTGTTTTATTCAAAGAACTTATGATATCCTCCAAAGAGTAATAGTTTATTGCCAATTTCCTGCTATTTTGTTCGTGGAATCGTTGAGATTTGAGAATGTGTGTATCAAAGTCTCTGAGTATGTTCTTGGTATTTCTGTCTTCTCTAAACATCCGAGACTAATAGTGAACAGGTTTGTTGTTGGTATTTCTGTCTTCCACAATCACGGGGTTGCTTAATTTTGTCAACCGTGTTTACTTTCTCACCATTTGGCGGTTGTGTCATGCATAACTCTATTGTTTAAGGTTGTGCCTTCCTAAGGTTTGTTTGATATCGTTTCCCAAGTTCTAGTCCTCGGTTTGATTTTCTGATTCGTTAAGTTGATCCGCATTCATCTGCAGGGATGGATTTTCACGAGCTTCTGGACATCCCACAAGGAGATCGACGGAAATACCATGACGACGTTACAGTCATGGTGGTGTCCCTCGAAGGAAGAATCTGGAAATCATCAGGAAAATACCTTTAATAACAGTCACAGCTCAAAAACCAGCAGCAGCAGCCTTGCATATACAACTTGGTGAAGATCAAGGGAACAATTTTTGATTCTCAGCTGGTTGAGAAATCAGATTACAACTAGAGGTCGAGGTCGAGGTCGTCCATCTATCATGGGCACAGAGAATTCTTATCTTTTGGGGGAGGTGGTGATGTACAGTTAAATGGGGTCGGGGGCCAAAGTGCTGAATGATATGTTACCAATGAATAGATGAGCTGTTGGTTCAAAGAAAGAAAAGGGGGGAAAACACAAAAAGAGACGAGAGAATCTGGTGATTGATGGGAGAGTTTGGAGAAGGGGGAGGTGGAGGAGAAAAAAAGTTTTGTTTGTTTTTGGTCATGTCCATTCTTGTTTTCTTTTAGCTCTTCTTTATAGGATAGGGAGACTTTTCTTTTGCGTTTTGGGGTTGTGAGGTAATGGGAAGAAGGGGTTGTTCAGTAGGGCAAAAATCTGTCTGTAATTTGAAATGGGGGGCTGGTATAGAGATGACTTTTGGAGCTTATTTGCAGGTAAAGTTTGAGCTCTCTATGACTTTGCAGCTAGGTTTTCCTCATCATGCCCATTTCCAAGGCATTTTCTTTTGCATTTTTGCTCGTTCCATAGTGTCGTGTTTCGACTGAATCGGCTAAGGGTTACTGTGATGGAAAAGTAAGCAAGCTTTCATACTTGATAGTCATTTTGCAGGTCAAGTTGAGCTGTGGCTTGCAACTTAGGTTTTCACTTTGGTGCTTTACCTGACATTAATGGCTGCAGCAAAATTCCTAGAAACTCAACTGGGTTGAGTATCAATAATAACATTACAAAAACAAGACCATAGCATCGAGAGGTAAAATGTGCAAAATGACCTGTAAAACTTCAAGCAGTGACAGCAGCCGGAGAAGGCGGCGCCAGCTTGATTGTCTGCGACTGCATCGCCACCGCCTCCTCCACCGCGAAAGACTCGCCGTCGCTGCTCATCAGTGTGATCCTCTTGATTATTAATTAGTTTCTCCGGGGTATCTGTACGCATGGAGCTGGTTATTTATAACAATATTGTCAGCACCGAACCGGAGCATGACACGGTAACGGAGCATGACACGGTAACGTGAACGGCTAGCATTTTAGTGATTTAACCAGTATTGATCCGAACTCGATCGAGCTAGTGGGTCAACGGGTCATCCGTTTTAGTTCGGAAATATGGAAAGAGTTATTATATTATACTTATCCTGATAAATTATATCAAATCTCATCTAAATAACATATAACATTACACCAAAGTAACATGTCATACTTAGATCTAACATATAGTGAAAATTCACACACACTTATATAACACCAATATTCAAATGTTCAATTAAGGATTCCAAATATTGAGTTAGGCGAAAAGAAAAATCAGAAAATAGACGCATTTCACAAACCAAAGAAAAAAATGATACAATTTGACCTCCAATCCGGTACCTTGTAGCGGTCCACCTAGCGAGTGCGTGTCAGCGTGTGATCCATTTTTCTCATCGGAATAGAGTCAAAGTGGGTCAACCCGTGGATCGACCCGCGGGTTGAGCTAGCTAGGCTTTGTACGCGCAGGAAAAATGAATTCTTTTTCTCTTATAAAACAGGGATGTTAGTATAATCTAAAAAAAAAAAAACAGGGATGTTAATTAATTAATTATTTATTTTATTATGAATAATTAGTTTTTTGTTTTATTTTTTTTTTTGTAGAGAAGAAAATCTATTTTCTACGTGGCTGGTCTATTCATGATCAAAATTAAAAGCTAGGCGACAACATCAATGCTATTGGGCCAGTGACTTGCAATATGCGGGTTAAGTAGCGCATGAGCTCTCCAAATCTGAGGCCCAACCGTCGTAATATGATCAGGAAAAATATGTTTTACATAATCTCGCCGTTATCTTGGGCCCATAATGGTCGCTGAACAGAAATTAGCGACGTAGAGATAAACGTTAACGAACTAATAATAAAATTGGGTTACATTAAACATCAAATGGGTCCATAGCTCAGTGGTAGAGCAATTGACTGCAGATCAATAGGTCACCGGTTCGAACCCGGTTGGGCCCTATTTTTTTTCTCCTGCTGTTTTTTGTTGTTGTTTTCACTCTATTTCAAAGATGTCTTTCTTGGATTATGTCTGGTTCAGAGTAGCCATATCAAAACCAATAACATAACACAGAAAAGCTATCATGGAAATTGATGTAATTTGCTATTGCTCCTCCTGACAAGCTTTGTGATTGGGGGGAGATTGCTATAGATTCTATGTGCACTTTGCAATTTGACAATGGAAACATATGATCATTTATCTTGTTGTTGTGTATACACTAGATATAAGACGACATTATTAACGTTTTCGATCAGTAACTCCACGAGTTACGTGTAACAAAGAACATTAAATATGAACTATGAAGGATATTACCCCACAAAGAGGCCCAATTCCATACCATCACCATTCACCACTATCCTTAATCCAAAACCCTTCTTTAATCAATCTCTGATCTGTCTAAAAATTTCCCCATCAGAAAGCTACAGACTCCCCAATTGATTATTAGCTTTAAGGTTACTACATATATGTCAGCAGACAAAGACCAAAAACTAATAATACAATATTACTTCTGTGTCTGCAACTATATACACATACCAAACCAACCCAAAAAAACAAATCAATCAATCAACCATCCATCCAATCAGTCTAATCCATGTGAGGGCAAGTTATTGAGACAAACATCAACTCTAGGCGTCTCACATTTCACAGTCACCACATCATCATCATCATCACGTTTGTACTCCTTGAAGCCAGCCACCCTCCCTAGCTCCTCAACTTCCTCCATCACGCTGTCCAGCCTGGCCACCGTCTCCACCAGCAGCGACGCGAACGCCGCGAACGGCAGCGCCTCGCAGAACTCGAGGCTGCACGTCAGCATCGCGATCTTGCTCAGCTGCGGCCGAAGCACCTTCCTCTCAGCAGCAGATAATTCCTTCTTGCTCCTCGTCTTCTTCCACTCCCTCAGTGTCGATGTGTCAGTCTTGGCGCTCGACAACAACGACGACGCTCCTCCTCCTCCTCCTCCTGCTCCTGTTGCCGCCGCCTCGCGCTCTTTCTCCTGGCGGGCTTGTGCTGCAGCCACGGCCAGCATGTTGCTGGCCTGGCTGCAGTTGGAGCCCAGGAAGAGCCTGGGCTGGGACCTGACCGCCTTGTTCAGGTCCTGCAGGGCGTCGTGGAGGTGGTCCGCGAGCAGCTCTGGGGAGCAGTGTCGTCTGTTTCGGATGCTCGTAGCGAGCTCCATCAGCACCCCGGACACCTCGCTTGCCAGCCGGATGCACGGACCCTTGAACAGTGCTCTACAGGATTTTGGCGTCTGTGGCGACGCAGAAAGTAAAATAAAACAAACTATCAGCAAGCAGTATAAGATCCATAATTGAATCTCTCTCTCAACAACTCGAGTTATTGGAACCAACTGATTCTCTCTCGACACATGTCGTTTTAATATGCAATCTGCAGCTTTACCTGGATTTCCGTCTGTAAGCACCCATGGAGTGCTACAACCGTGTAGCTGAAGCGACGAAGAGCCGCTCCAACTTTGACGTACTGCTGCCATGGATACCGACAGTGCCTGGAATGCCTAGGCTCCCAACTGGCGTACAATGCCAGAGCCTCGTCGATCGATTTAGAGTCCAAAACTGCCTTGTAACCTTTGTAGATCGGGTCCTCGTCACATGACTTGTCCTCCTCGTCACTCTCTTCTTCTCTAACCTCCGTCACAGCTTCATCGCTAAAGTACTCATCGACACAAACTGCACAAAACCAAAATCCATAAAGTCTGAAACTTTCCGTCGAAAATTCGTTACTTGCACGACCGAAATTTGTCACAGTCACATTAGTACGTTACCTTCGATGGATTTGGCGAGTCCCTGAAGCTTATTGACGGTGGAGTTGTGGAGATCCTGCCCCGACCAAATGGGGAAGACCAATAGGCTCATGAAGAGGCAGATTCCGCAGCCGATCGCGATGGTGATGAGTCGCTCGTGAGCGATCTTCATGACGTTGCTGACTCGGAAGCTGGAGACGGTGATGAGATTGAAGGTGAGGAGGAAGATGACGACTCCGTAGTCGTAGTTCTTCTTCACGTACGGTAAGAACCTCAAGTAAGTAGCCGCCGCCCCTGTTTTTGTTTTTGTTTTGGGGATTTTCAGTACGACAAAAGTAAGTCAATTGAACCCGGTGAAGTTAACCAATTGGGGGAAGGGAAAAAAAAAAGAAAAAACTGCATACCAATAACGAAGACCGCACAACCGATGAAGATGGCGCGGCCCACTTGCCCTGTTTCCTCGGCGACGAACTCGATCAGAAAAGCTAGTGATCCCGCCATGATTGTGCCCAATCCCCTGTTCAGCCCCTTGCACAGCGTCGCCCCTGTTTCAAAATTCGCGGTAAGAAAAAGAAAAAAAACCGTCGGAGTAATTGTAATTCTGATAGTATTTAGTGAAAAGGTTTTTTCTTTAACGTACCGGCGGTGAACTCGAGGACGACGACGACGGTCATGACGGCCCAAATGGCGTTCTGGCCGATACCCTCAAAAAGGGGCTCGAGGAGGTAGAGCATGGAGACTAAAGTGAGTGCTAGCCCGACTTTCACGGCGTGAATTGCTCGCCGGGGGTCGTCCTTTCCGACTTGCCACATTTTCCGGCATGCCAGCCCCGGAGCCCGCTTGGTCCTCTCCCACGCCGACCCGCCCTTCTTCCTCCAAGTCTCCATCATTTTTGGTCTCTGTTTCCGGCGAAGCGATTAAAACAGAGGAAAAACAGAGAGACAGGTGGCGAGAAACGGAGACGAATGATCAGCCACTAAATTGGAGGGGGGGCTTTTCTGGAGGTTTCTGTTGCGCTGCTGGTGCGGGAAGCTGGTATTATATAAGGGAGAGGAAAGTGGGAGCTGTTGGGAAGGAAAGGTGCAGTCACATGCAGTTCGCCGCTTTCCCCTGCCTTTTTTTAAATATTTGTAGGTGGGTTTGTTTAGTTGTTTGATTGTTACTTGTTAGTGAGTAATCATTAAGGGAAGTCAAATGGGAATTGGGGAAAAAAATGGGTGAGGTAGGTGACAGAGTCTGTGCTGTGGCGGTCGGAGGGCTGTTTGGAGGCTTCCGATCAGTTTCTGTCGCCTCTGTTTTGCGTCTGTCAGTTTGCCGTTGCCAGCTGATTCCTGTACAGAGGCTTAGATCTGTCATCTCGCTAATCACCACTCAATATGCGCGTATCAATTGTTCAATACCCTCGGTGTTTTAGAATGGCTTCATCCGTCCGAGTTTGATCCAGACCAAATCATATCATATTGCTGATTCAAACAATATTTCTCATTCGATTAAATCGTAATTTCACAAGTTCTATTAAAAAACAGTAGAAGATACATTTGAATCAAATTACATAAATTTGTTTTTGCCAAACTTTGATCATCATTTTCCCTTTACATTAGCTTCTGGTCCATTCAAGATTGAATCCGATTCATAACCAAATAGCATCATGTCCACATCACGAGAGATCGCGACGTAAGTTTTCTAGTTATTATAACTGTCAACCCAACTATAATTTTACATGATTATTCAAGTCATATGCGGTGTGGCTTGAGCCAGCCACACTAACAAATAGTATGGTCTAGAAGTAATGGAATTTGGATTGATGGGATTAGGATAGTGATGTGGGTCTCAAGGGTTAAAAATCACATGATAAGTTGGTCGTGTCAGTGTTCGTTACCACTAAAAGCTTTCTTTAATAAGTTGTTTATGAGGTGTTTAAATAATGGGAATGTATGATCATAGATTCATAATTGCCATAATGGGATGTTCAGTAATCTACTCCAGCTATATGGCCAAATTTTGGAGCTTATAACTTGGTAGAACTCAACAATACTAAAAGTGTTTTGAGCCTATTTTGGAAGGGTGTATAATTGAACTTGAATGAGAAATGGAGGGCAAGTGCATGAATAGACAATATGATGATAAGGACAATTAGCATATGATAACAATCCCCATAGATCCATGTTTGTTTAATAGACTACCCCAATAGGATCCCTACAAGTTTAGGGACAGTGCGATCGATCAGCTGATCATTCATTCATTTGTTTAGGAGATAACAAAACAAACAAGAAGGATTGAAATCACCATGAAAGGGAAAGCCGTGTGGTCAATCGAGTTTGTAAAAACTATAGGAACTTATTGGAAATGGACGGCTACAAGTTTAGGAAGAGTGAGAGGGGAAGATTGACTAACGTACTGTAATGGAGAAAGATCAAGTATATGATTGTATTAGGTTTACAGATGGATTTTAGTTAAGTATATATATATGTATGTAGCTAGCTGGATGTTAATCATGGAGCAATGAGCTTATATACAAGGGGAATGCCAACTTGTGTTCTTTCTCTCTTTTCATTTTTCTGTTGCTTTTCAGTTCAGGGTGGATATAAACATTTATCGCGCGCATATGTCTGGGAGTAACTCGATAAATTAGAATAAGTTGTTAATTTATGTAGTATTAGAGCGTTGAATCAACAGTTCATATATATTTGAATAAATTGTGTACGTGGTAGACGAATACAAATTATATTTAAACTTTGTACTCGAGCAAATAAGCTTTATTTTTTAAGGTGGCTTCTATCGTACCTCGGGTAGAATTTAGGGTACGACATACTTTTAAGTAGAAAAAACGCTATCTAGACCTCGAATTAACCGATTTTTTGGGCATGATACTATACTCTAACCCTTGATGAGTGAACCCTAGGTCTTAGATATTTAAACCATAGAGCCTAACCCCTAAGATTATACATGTAGTTTGTTGCATATATTTCGATGAATCATGACCGTTGGTTTTCGTTTCTAATTAAATTGATCTTAGTGTGTGAGATTTATAGAATTAAGATCTGGATTTTAATCTTTGCAAGTTTAGGAACAGTACCAGAGGCCAGACTCCGGTCAATTTAAGATCTTGATATCATTTTATTACTCAAGGTATGTCATTCCTTTGATTTTACCCGAGGTACAATAGAACCACCCATTTTTTAAAGAGGTACGAAAGGAGTTAATATAAGATCCATATTTGAATCTCTTTCAATAATACGAGTTATCAAGATTTTGGCACATGAAACTTTCTAATCTAAATTTTTATTTTTATCTGACAATGAATAATCAACCTATATGACTTTTCGATTACGTTCCTGTTGATACAATAAACCAGCCAATATTTGCATAAATATGTTATACATACTAAACAACCTACAAAGCAAATAACAAAGAAACAATCATGAAAAATAACATTACGATGAGATAGAAAGTAGGCAACCAAAGGGTAGAGAAAAATATCATGGATGGGCACCGTCACTTTGACATGTATATATTAGATGTTCATGAGAATGGGAGGAGTTCACATTTCATATTTTTTCAACCTTTTTTCTGGCCGGCCACCTTTATTTATGTAATAAGTTGCAAGTTTTCTACAACTCAAATAGGCAAAACAACCACCTTCCCATCCACCCTTCACCTTCCCATGATCCCATCTCACGAGAGAAATTATGGATGGAGCCAAAAGTAAAAAAAAAAAAAAAAATCCCCTAATGTATATAGGAGTGACCAATTTGAAATGCAAATGTTATATGAAAAGTGTAAAGAGATTCGTCGCAAACACATCTATCAGTCGAAACATCATGTAAATTTAAGTTATAAATACTTCACATTAATTCTTATTCCTACGATATTTGAATCATTCAGTTTATCTCTTTGATCACATTGCACAACATTTTCAAAGCAGCTATTGTCAAGAACCAATTGATTCCAACAACTCGAGTTGTTAGGAGAGGTTCAATCGTGGATCATATACCACACACTAACACGCCCCCCCTCAAACGAAAGCCACTCACAAGGGCTTGAAGTTTGCACAGGTCCGCATACCATGTGATTAATAAATGGGGGTTACCAGGATCCGAACACGATACATCTCGGTCACATAAGGCTCTGATACCATGTCAATAACCAATTAATCCCAATAACTCGAATTGTTGGGAGAGGTTCAATCATGAATCATATACCACACACTGACGGCTGATCCATGCATTTCTAATTACCTCTAGTGATAGTTCTCATAGTGACAAAAAATGGAACTTCATTGAATCTCCATATGTATGTTTTGCATCTTTCAATGGGTATTGAGCATTCCCCATCTTGCATTGCATGCATATGTTGCTTTCGCCGCTTTACTTATTATTATTATGACTTATATGACTTCAAGATTATGACCCAAATAATTAATATCTCACGGATCAAGTGCACATCTTCTCCACAAAATAAAATTGCTGCTGCATGTTGTTCTCATCAACAGCTGTTGTGAATTGTGATGTTTCTTCCTCTTCTTTAGGGATATTGCGGATGGAATTAGTGTGCTCGTGTGCATGCTCTATAGTCCCCCCAATGTGAGGCCACAACGATGGCATCTGGCACTCATACAAACCGTCCAAACCCAACACTTTATTAATATTGTCCACGATTGTCAAAGCGGGTAAAACCCAAGGATTTCGGGTCGGGTGCTGGTTTTACCGTTTTTGAAATTGGTGGATTGGTTATGAATTTTGTTAAATACCAACCCTCTTTTCACTCAAGGCACAGCACCCGTAAAGCAATATAGATACCACATATATGAAATATGATTCTTGTTCAATCGAATATACGCTTATAACATGTAAATAAAATATGTAAGTTAAACTTTGCTAGACACATACCTCATTTGTCAACACAATTAATAAATTTTGAAACCCTCAATCCACTATCTACTCTTCTAACCCAATATGAGCCATTGATCAAGTGGGTCTTTCGCATAGACTATAGACCGTCGAATGTCGTCGCGGAGAACCATCCTCCAAAAAGTATGCGGAGAACCTTACCAAAATTCAATAGGATGGGTCAGATTTCTCCAAACTCAAGCCAGCGTGTGCACCCATTGAAAACCTTGGTAAAATACCTATTGAGTTTTAGAAGTGAAGATCCAACCCATCCAATGAGTATCTATGGATGCATGAACATAGTCTTATATTATTTCTTCTAACACCTACGTCGTAATGTAATCGAGATTTTTCCTATAAATATATCTCCATAAAGACTACTATCATCCATATATATGATTCATATGATTAGATTTATATTGTCAGATAGACTAATAACATTCATAAATGATTCATATTGTTCCTATTATTCGGATTGAACAAAAAACATATTTCAAATGTGTAGGGATTCTCGCTTGAACCCGTCACGTTAGGTACTACTCGTCCTGCACTAGTATGGCTGGACATGGGTATCTACTGCTAACTCGCCCTGCCCCGCCCCATTCGTGACCCATTATATCACAAGTTCTTATAATATATATTCATATTTTTTTATTTTGATTTTTCTTCAACTAATTAGACTCGACCTTTCAACTAATTAGACTCAATATCCATTCTATTATCACTAGTTATATTCATAAAGTGTTTTCCCTTCGTTTTATCGTAAAAGGTAAAATTTTATGTGTCATGTCTCGTATTATCCCCGACCCTCTTGGTGTGGGGCGAGTATTGAGAAACCCGTCCTCGCCCCCACTCGTTTGCCATCACTACATATGTGTGACATGTGTATTAGTCATTTCCACAACTTGTACTCAAAATAAGCATAACACATATTAGAAACATATTTGTATTATACAAAAAAAAAAAAAAATTCAAATTAACCAAAAAAAAACTTCTTTCATATAATATGTGAATTCATAATTTTCACAACTTGTATTTTTCCAATTTTCACTATCTCCTCTCACTTATTTTTCATATCTTCCTAACAATGTCCGATGCACCATAACCTGGTTGCAACCCATTACCCTCGCTAGTGATTGCAGATCAGATCAGGTAGAAATTTACATCTCTAATTCCCAATACCCATGAACAACATCTCAGGAGAGGGTTTTCTTCCCCCCTTCTCTCATGCCATAATCAAGCATGTTTCTTACTTACATACTTCCACAGTTCCACTCATATATAAAGCGCAAAT